ACACACTGATATGAATGCTCTGTAATTGGGTATTTCAATCTAGTTGATTTTTTTTAATCCCTCCAACCCCCGAACTGCATGATTAGATTTTGTCTGGTTATATCAGTTCACTTCTTGCTTAGCTGAACTGTTATCACTGAGTCATTTTTATCAAGTACTTCTGCTAGCACAGGATCACAAGAAATGGCCAAATTAGCTAAAGGGTAAATGTCAAGTATCAAGAAAATCTGATGAAGATTTCTGTTCTGTTTCATTTTTATGTGCAAATTCATTTTCCCGTGTCGTCCCTCCCCCTCCCCTCCCCCCCAGTGTATATTGGGAGAATGTAACAGTTAATATAATTCTTAATTGCTCCTTGTTGGATTGCTACAATATTGTTACTCAAAATTTGTTTTATAACAAGTTTTGGGTTTTTTTCTTCCTTTGTATTTTTCAGATTATGGCGGTGGCTCAAGGGTTGGGGAAGAGATACATCAAAGCCTTTTTTAAAGGTTTCTTTGTTGCTGTTCCCATAACGGTGACTTTCCTGGATAGAGTTGCCTGTGTAGCAAGGGTGGAAGGAGCATCAATGCAGGTATTGCTGGAAGTGTCTTTTGTCTGTGCGGAAATTAAAAAGTCACTGTCTACTGATAACAGCGAAGTGGAAAAGAAACCTTTTTCTCCATTGTTATTAAATGACCACATTGTATTATGGAATAGTTTCATTTTGACTTTGTTAAACACATACTTTCATGATGTGAAAAGGTTTTGAGAACAAAACTTACCAAAATTCTCTCTCAGTAAAAGGAAAATATATCTGTAAGTAGTGATAAAGATTTTATTATTTTTTTATTTTGGTATCTTCCTAGTCATTTAGCAGTCATTTAGTAATTGTAAGGCAAAATTGATTCTTGCTATATTGCTCCTATTAATGAACAATTATGGCACCATTTCAGTAAAGAGTACTGAAAATGACATGAACCTAATTTTAACGCCTGTGCTTTATCGGGACATCAGTATCCATTCACTGTTTTTACTTTGGTTATTTTGAATGTTTATAGAGTGTAAGAAAATAAATAGGCTGTGTAACATTTCGAAGATAAATACTCATGATACAATCATAGAATCATAGAATGGTTTGGGTTGGAAAGGACCTTAAGATCATCTAGTTCCAACCCCCCTGCCATGAGCAGGGACACAAATAATATAAATAATGATAGTAAACAGCTACTTTGTTTCCTCTGTTATTTGGACTTGAAAAATTCATGTTGTGATGCAGTTAGCCAATTTTTGTGTTGTTACTTTGCATCTTAAATCATATGCTTGCATCACCACTGATAGCTATAATTTATTTTGTTCCGATGTTGCAACATTCCAATTAGCAGAGACTAAGGATTTGATTCTTGGTTGCCAACCCCTCTTTTCTGATTATTTAAGTAAGCTCAGAACCTTAAGGAGAGGCTCCGCAGCAGTCAAGACCAGCTGCTGGAGTTTGAATTGTGTGGCATTTACGCAGACAAAACTTAGGCTAGAACATGGGCTTGGCTGAGGTGTGTTTAATGCTGTAAAAAGCGTGCGGTGGGGAAGAGGGAATGTCAAGGTGCCATTTTGTGCCTTTTGTAACAGTGTCTAATCTGGTGTTTAACCTCTGTCGAGAAACCTCAGCTGGTCTAGAAGGCAGGTCTCACCTCAACAGGGACACAAGTAAAATGATTATACTCAGTAATTCTACAATCCAAGACCAGAAATTAGTTGTAACAGAAAGTTACCTTTCCCCTCTTCATGAATGTTATTCTGAATATCATTGATGACCAATCAATGGTAGAATTTCAGGGTTTACAGTTGGAGCACCACAAATTTGCTCTAGAAAGGAGGAGAGGAGTGGGGAATTGGAGAAAATGGTTTCATACTCTTTTTTACTATCTTCAGACAGGAGAAACCAAAATACATATCAGCATTTAGATAGTACGAAATCAGCTAGACAGATACAACTTCGCCATTCTCTCTCTTGCCCTTTTTTGCCTCTGTTGGGATCTAGAGCCACATACAATACTGAAGATGCAGATGCATCTTGGATTTTATGTTTGTCTGGGTTTTTTTGGTTTTTGTTTTTTTTTGTGTGTGTTTGTTTTCTACTAGTGAGCGTGACTGGAGCATTTAATTTTTGTGGGGTTGCTTTTTTTAGTGTGCCCCATTGCCTTTCATTGTTTGATCTTTTCCGTCTCTGAAATGGTGGTGTGCTATCGTCCATTCTTGTTTGGCTAGTTTTACCTTAGTAGCTGGAAGGAAATTTTCTAGATTTTCCTACTCCACAAGTCTCTTAAGCCCCTCTGGTCAAGACTGCAGTTTTAGATTTCCTTTGAAGTCTTAAGTCTCAAGTGTTACAGAGTGCTCTGGTACTGTTCTGGAGTGTTGCACCTCTACTCTCTTGAATGGCATATAGTTAAATGTTGTTTATCCGTGGAAGATTTGCAAAACACTAGAGTTATTTGGTCAGAGTTACTCAACCTGATGAAGGATATGCACTCTCTGTAGTGGCTAGAGAAAGCAATATATAGTCACTGGGTGATTAAAATCTAAGCTTTTCCCTTGATGTGTTTGTCTGCTAAACGTTCCTTCTGTTGATTGAAGTATGGCTAGCTTGAAAGCTGACGTTTCTAACTTCTCTGACATCTCAGTGTCTGTAAAATTCTCTCTCTGGTTTTATTTTGGACTGCAGTACTGAAATAGAAGTTTGTTTTAAACTTCTATGAATATAGATATTTTTCAGACTACAAAAAAAAACCTCCTTCCCAGTGCTTTAATAAGGTACTGATATCCTTGCCGAGATTTATTAGACACCTAACTAAGTCTGACAGGGACATAATTATAAGGAATATATCCCTCTCTTGCAGAATAGCTTGAAGTAGTACTGGTCATCACGTTGCATTTCCATTTACTTACTCTTTTCTCTGGAGTGATCTATGTTGAATGTGTCTGAAAGCTGCAGGTATGAGGAAGAGTGGAGTTCAGTCAGCATGTAGTCATACATCCATCAATTGCATGCTTCCAATGATACCTTATTGTCTCAATTTGAAGATATCATGGTATGATTCCCAAGAATTTGTTTGTAATAGACCTCTAAAATGTCTAGCTGGCTTTGTGTACTCATCATTTTGGCTCCTGCTGAGCCTGAAATTAAAAGTTCTGACAAGAAGCAAGGAATAAATCTCTGTCATGCTCCCTCTCCTACTCTTGTTCTCTGTTGTGTGCTCTCTCTCCTCCCTCACTTTCTCCTTTTGTTTTGGACCAACCTTACTGCTACTTCATAGTTACTGACAATGGTAACACTTTTTGAGACCCTGGCAAGCACACTGAATGTTCTAATGAGGATACAAATTTTCTGATTTATTCCCAATCAATTAAGACAGACTTCATGCATTTCATTGTCTCAAGCTGATCTTGTTTTCTGCAGTGCCACCTGTCATAGAATCATAGAATGGTTTGGGTTGGAAAAGACCTTAAGATCATCTAGTTCCAACCCCTCTGCCATGAGCAGGGACACATAATTCTTTCACTTGTGCTGACTCTAACCTATAGGGAATAACAGTGACCTATTGCAGTTTATAATTTTAACAGTTTTTAATTGTCATATGGACATCTTGATACCCATTTATGTTTTTCTTTTCTATTGAGTTTCATTGCTTCTCTGGTATTATGAACTCTTTTTACATAATGATGAGGAAAAGGGACCCCCCCCTAATGGCTATATAAATTTGTGAATTCATTAAATCAAATGGACTGTTTTCAAGTGAGATGGAAGATGACAGTGTTAAGAGCAACTTTGTATGCAAGTTCTATTGCAAACAATTTAATGCCAAGGATTATAGCAAGTAGCCTGACCAGCGATCTCTGACGAAGCACACTTGTCACAGCAGCAAACATTATTGAACGTTCTATTCCATTATGCATAATAGCAGTTGTAATTATTCTGTGGCAGTTTCTCCTGACTTTATTATTAGGATTACTGTACCTAAGCCTGTGTGCTCATGTGGATGTTCTTTCTGCTCTCCAAGCTATAAGCAAATAGGTTGTGACCTTCTGGTATTCACTAGCAGCATAACAACTATCAAGTTAATCATTATTTATAGTAAAAGGGCATGCTTTTACCCTTCTGCTTATGGAACCTCATGTCCTGTGAGGCTTCATCATATGGCTCAGGATCTCAATTTGCATGCTTTTAGTGTTAGATCAGTTAGTAATTGGAAAGAGTGAATGTTTTGTGACTTGGACACCACAGTTCTAGATTAAGAACTATGTGTCTCATTTGTATCAGGCTATTATGCCACGAACTTGGGCAAACAATATATAATGTTGCAAGCTAGAGGGAGGAAGAGTCCCCTGTATTTTTTTGTTTCTTATAAAAATAAAGAGCTGTTGTGAGCCTGTTTGTTGACTGCTCTTACAGAAGCTTTATTTTTGTTTTGCCCTACCAGAGACCTTACTGCTGGTGAAAATGTCACGGGGACTAAGTTGTCTCTGAACATATGGCATTAAATACTTTCCATACTTCTTGTTGTGGAATCACAATTTATGTTATTTACATTAGAGAAAGACTTGCTGATGTAAAACGAAAGTTGTCTCATTCTAGTTTTCCTTACTCTTCTACCAAAATGGTGTTTTTGTCTGGGTATTTTTAATATGTCATGTTGTTCTATAGAAAAGAAAAAAAATATACTCTAAATTTCCATATTTCTCTGAAACATAATTCTGATGCGTAATGAGTTGGAGATCCACTCTGTATGTCAAAACCACATGATCAATGTATTCTTAAAAACAACAAGCAATATGGTAATAAATTTAGAGTGTTTTAAATTAAAAAGGTTATTCAATATCTAGAAGTATTTAAACTCTAAAGCATTTCCTTTGTTTAAATACAGAAAACAGTATGAGTCAATGGGATAATGCAGGAAGGGCAATACTATAGCTACCTGGTGTATTTTTCTGTAAGATGAAGTTGATACAGATTTAGTTGAGAGGAAATGTGTGTGAACACTCCTGTAAATCCCTTCTAAGTATCAGCTGCAAAATATGTTATCTTTTGGAGCAATGGATTTAGAATTTCCATTTGTTTTGACTGCCTCTTTCTGCCCTTTAAGTACTCGAGGTGCTTTGAGTACCAAGCAGTTTGCTTTGTGAGAATATACCATATGTATGATTCCTGCTTTGTGAGATCAACCCCTTTGCCTTGTATTTAGTATCATTGTTAGCTTCTGGTCCATACGCACCTGCATTCGGTAAACTGAGTATAACCGCAAATCGTTTCTGAATTTGTGTGTAAATAATTTGTAAGTAAAGATACTATCCTTTGGTGGGAGATGCTGTGAAGGTGGAAAATAATCCAGGAAAATCCTGATTAAAAATTAATAATCAAATATTCAGTAATTAGCTTCTGGTTTTCATTTTTCTGGCTCTTGCAATGCATAGACGCTAGTAGATAAAATAACAATGAGTGTTAATATATTTATACCTTAGACTTGGACCATATTTCTGAACGTTAAGGTGATCGGCTTTGATCAGACTTACTTGACTAGAAATTTGCCCTTTAGTCCATAACCAGCCTTGTTTGCTGTTTAACTAAATATATCATGTATCCTGTTATGCAAGGCCCACGTTTAGTGGTAGTGTCAGTATATGCTGTAGGGTTTGGTTTTTCCCTTTGCAAAGGGTGCTGAGATTAGTATTGTTACAAGTACATGTTTTACTTTTGGTTTGTTATGCTTGTATAAGCAGTAAGATGTCTGTGGAAAACTTGCTTTTTCTGGGAATTAGTGGTTTTGGTTTTCCTTTGGTTTTAATATTAAATGATATGCAGTAAAGACAATCACTTCTTTTCATCAGGCTTGTCATAAGTATGTATCCTGCATAACTTAATTTGCATGCAGTAGTGCACTGAAAGATGTGAACTACAGTTTGTAATAAATCAATGACATTTAACATGGCATTTAATAAAGAAATATATTTCCCAGAATACGTGGTCCTTTTATAGTAAGTGGGTATGTTTTTACTGATTTAATGGCTTTCACCTGTTGATGGAATGAGTTAGGTTGAAGACTCATAGAGGAAATGTAGATCTGAAGCATTTTTTTCTTCCTCTCTCTCAGCCTTCTTTGAATCCTGGTGGAAGACAAGCATCTGATGTAGTGCTCTTAAACCACTGGAGCATTCGAAATTATGATGTACAGCGTGGGGACATTGTGTCATTGGTGTAAGTGATTTCGCATACATTTCCATACATGCTTAGATAAACGTTGAGCTATCAGTATTTAATATTTAATCTAGAATACTCTATGTATACATATGAGCAAGGAACATGAAATTTTAATAATGCGTTATTGTTATTCCTATAATCAGTTTTCAAAACTCAGATGTTCAAAGAATGCATTACCAAGTTTTCACTGGAAAGAAATGCAGTGTAAGATATTATGTGATACAGTATATATGTGTATCAAAACTGCTAAGAAAAAAGAGCTGTGGGATAAAAAGGGAAAGTAGATAAAACAGTATGTGGCTTAATGGAGTATACTTTTAAAGTTGCTTGGCTATGCACTCACATTTGTCAGAAAAATATGTTTCTTTAGTAATTAATACTATTTTTTTAATGGAGAAATTAACTAAGATCACAAGAACTCAACGTCTCTATGAAGGACAAATGTAGCAAAAAAAAAAAAAAAGTTTTGCAATTATAATGGGGAGGTCTGTGAATCAAGCCGAAAGGTGGCAGTGTTTCGCTGTTGAAAGTATTCGAGACTAGCAGGACACAAGCTCCATTTCAGCCTTCATGTAATATAGAAATGGAATGTCAAAGTGTGCATAACTGGCACAATGATACAATACATACTCATACTACATGCTTGGATAGTATAAGCTTAAGGTTTTAGTATTGTAAGTGAAATGCACAATATGTAGTTTATGACAGAACTGTCTTTGGAAGCTGTGTTATCTGGCTTCCTTTTTGTCATACATCACCTCTAATTGTCCCATTTTTGTTGCCTACTTCTTCACTGGAGTGATAATTCATATGACAGTTTTCACTACTAGTTCTTAAGGCAAACCTTCCCATGTAGTCTTCTTTCGTTAGAAACTTAAAATATACTTCATGATCTGTCTTATTCTTTGGCATGTAAGATGTTCTGTAAATGGTCCAGTGACAAATGTAAACTTATTCATATTATAACATTTAATATTGCAGAAGGACTCCAATTGCAGGTCACTGAATGACTGCTTGTAAAATTTGACTCAAGCTGTGAATGCATCCCTCTACCCAAGTCATGCTCTGTGATTGTTTAAAACGGTGAATGTAACTAGTTAGTAATCAGTAGACTGAACAGAAGATGAGCATGTTGTCTGATCAGAAAAAAGGATTCATAGTTTCAGTATACTTCTTGGAGGTTTGTGGTACCATCTGAGCCATCTGGATTGATTGCTTTCACTTTGCTGTATGTTTGGCATGATAACTAATATTTTAGATTCTATCGTTTCTTTGTATGCTATGAAAATTTTGCCTATTAGGGTGGAGCTTAGGCACACCTGCATAGAAGTAGTCCAGGTTTTTCTTAATCTTTAGGAAAGTACACTGAATAATCAGACTAGAGAATTCAAAAAGCACTTTAAGAGCAATACAAAGGAAGTTAAACAATGTAAAAATTATGTAATAGTTGTGATATGAAAATATTGAAAGGTATTTTATGTATCAGTAACAACTTTTAAGTTAGTATTTCATGATACAGGTTTGTTAGAAGCTTTTGTTAAAAGTTTTTGATTTTGGTGTAGGGATTTGCAGGATATAGTGTCAGGATGTGATTTTGTACCCGTGTGTGTTGGCTTGACTTAACTTTTGGCACAAGAGGCTTTTATTGTGTGAACAGGTTATTTTTATCCTTTTCATTTTGATTGTTTACCTATGATTTTCATAATTCACTAGTGAATAGATGTCCTATGTATGTGCATGAATTTTACCCAGTGGTTCTCCAAGGATTTGACTGATTCAGGCAAGGCGTGAATGAGGAGGGCCAGTCTCCTATCAGCTGCTGCTTTTTCTGTTCCTGTCAAATTCAGATGAGAAAGTGTTGGTGTGACTGAGATAGGCAGATGGATATGTAAACCTTCTTTTATATCCTACTTGTCTGCTTAACATTTGTCTACTGTCTTATCTTTGCCAAGTCATAGTGGAAAATAGCTATGAGGATGTTGGAAGGTGGTCTTCTGCAGAATAAGAGCTGAGGTCAAATGTTCCTTCATGGCAGCTTGACCATGGCCATCTTAGCTTTCTTCATACTGTGTCATTCTGAATGGGTGCTTTTTCTGTCAGTACCCTTAAAAGGGATTATTGAGATCCCAGCTGGCAAAATCCAGTGTAAGTAGATGGCCAACAACCAAAATTTGGAGCAAAGACATGAGTTAGTCTTAGTAGCCCTGGATGCCCCAAGAGAGGATCAGTCAGCCTGTGATTATGCTTGTAATACTCCTTGCAGATCCAAAAGTTTTTTCCCTGTCATCCAGTCTAGTTCTTGATGAACAGGTATATTTTTATTTGCTGACTTCGATTACAAATGAGCATCCTGTCCCCAAACAGTTGCTGGAGCTTATGCCTAGTTAAGTTATTAAATGAAGACTGCATGTTTATGGAGACGTGTATCATGTGTCTCTGTCATCCCTGTCTCCGCATCTGGTGTAGATGCAACTATGCAACACATCCACATCTGTGAAATTAGCTGCTGTAATGCTAATTACACATGTGCATATACCTGGTTTTGACATAACATTTAGAATGGTATTAGTCCTCAAAAGTGTAAAATTAGAGTCAGATAAAACCAAAGGTGAGACTAAGTTGGTAGCAAAGAATGATTTGTTTATGCGCAGTTTAGTGTTTTACAAATAGTTTAATCTTACCTCAGTTTTTTAGAACATGTATTAAGCTAACATTTTTCCTTTCAGCTTGAACTCATCTTTGTTGGTTACCAGCATTAGGAGAGTTCAATGTTACATGTTAGAACTTTTGAACTCACAATTTTAAGTTGATTCAGAATGAAGGGAAAGTAGTATCCTTAATTCAGTCACTTGCTTGAGTGCTTAATGTAGATAGTGCTATATTACTGGGATTTAATAAATTAAAAATCAAACCAGGAAATTTTTTTCAGTAAATTCGATAATTTCCATTATTATGTGTTCTAAAATACTACCTCTGAGTCTCTTAGATGCAAAAAAAAAAAAAAAAAAAAGGGGTTGTTTTTTTTTTTTTTTTGCTGCTTTTTGTGTTTTTTTTTTTTTTTTTTTTTTAGTTTTATTTTAGAAGTGCATTTCTCTGTCTTCAAAGAGAGAACTTAAGTCATCACACATGAGGTCATCTTTAAAAGATAAATGAATGCATATTTTTGCGAGGCTGACCTCGATCTTCCAACAAATTTTGTGGTGAAACAGGCATTATGTTTTGTGAGAGCTCTGCTGAGGTAGATACCAACAGTTATGTAGAACTTTATCAGATATTGCAGAAGGAGTTATGAGTAGGCTTCTCCTAGCTGATTTTACTCTATAAAGCTTGAGTGCCAACAGCATTGTAGCTGTAGCAGTACGCACCTCAGTGTGGGCTGTACAGCTCATGCAGGTCCTTGGGAATATATACTGCAAATACACTTCCTGGTACTAATGCAGATAGTGCTCTTCCACTGTGTATTAATGGACATTTTTGCCAATTTATCTGTATGTAATTTGGTTTTTACTGTGTACAAATGCAAGCATTGTTATAAAAATATAGCCAAAGAGTGATATATATCTCTAGAATTTATTTTGCTTGTCTCTACTGAAAACCTTGTCTTCTGACTGTAAAATGGTGCCCTCTTTTTATTGCAAAATTCCTGTCTTAAAAGTAGAAGGTTGTTGCACCATGTAGAAGGTTGCAAAATTGGCATGTGTACATAGAGTGGATATTTTATTGATATGACAAAATTTAAGTAAGCTTTTGAAAAGAAGACACAATAGTATTAATTCAGGCATTTTAAATGTTTGGGGTTTTTTTTTTTTTTGACAAATAAGTTTGGACATTCGCTTCTTACAGGTTTCTAACAAAGAAGTTAACAATGAGTGCAGTATAAATTGTGTTGTTAGGTTTCTGAGTGATGAAATGGTCAAGACTGTAAATATTCACAGATACTAATTTTAGTCTTTGGAGGTTGTGTTATGTCTGTAATAGAGAGAACATCTTCTCCAAGGTGTGACTGAGAGTGGGAACCTACTTACTGGGTAGGTTGCTAGGTGTTCTTCCATTTCTGATTTTGAATATGTGCTTATCTCTTAAATAAAAATAGCTACACTAATTTAATCCAGAAAAAGACTGAGAACCAACGTTGTTTATTCTGTACATTTGGAATGGTGACATGCTTCTAAAGTTTTGAACTATAATAGCTAAATGAAAATGAGCAGTATATTTAAAAACATGTTTTTAAAGGTCAGCTGTAATAATAAGGAAGTAAATGTTTTATATTTTGTCAGCTTCTTGTGAGTCCTTAAATAGAAGCCTAATAGTTTTAAGTACAAGAACAAATTTTATGTTGAAAGTTCCTTGACTTTTTTTTTTTTTTTTTTTTATTTTAAAAAAAAAAGCATCCTTCCTAGTGGCTTCTGTCACTGTTTCCTCTGACTGTAAGATTATGTTCAGGCCTTCTGGCAAACTCCCTTACTTGTGGTAACTGCTACAGATTTTCATGTAAGGTTATGTGTGTTTGAGCTCTGAAAAATCCAGTGGAAATCAGCATTCCGGAGGAAGAATCAAAGTACTGAGTATAAGGTTGCCTCTGTGGCTGTGTCCTCCACTGATATCTGTTCAGAAACAAGAACTGGAGAAGTTAGTTGCTGTGATAATTTTATATGGTGGTTCAAGAAGTTTAAGCCAAATCACACAAATCTGAATAATCCAAATTTTAAAGGAATATGGTCCTGTTCAGTTGATAGAAACATAAAAGTTCTCAAATGGTGCAAAGTGAATGCATACTATTCATAAAACAACATTAATTGGAATTTCATTAGTAAGATTAGCCTAGTAAAATAAAAATCAGTAAGAAGGTCCTTATTGAGGGAACTGCCTTGAATTTGAATCAGGAGTTATAATTATGAAAAGACTTTCTACTAAATTCTGATGGATGTAACATTAACTGATACTTAATGGTTCTTGTATTATTTTTAAGAAAGCTTCATTCTGACTAAAATACTGAACAAC